TGCATACCCAGCGCTGTCTTCCCTCGGTAGTACTGCTCCAAGCTTGCCTGCCCAGCAAGCTTCATGGCGAAGTACATGGCGAAGGAAGCCTCGTTGGATTTCGAGTAGAGGTCCAGGAGGGTTTGCCTCACCTGGAAGTAGGTCTGGGTAGCCAACCAGAGTTTTCTGAAGAGCTCCAGGGGTTGGCGCGTCAGGTAACGAGGCAACCTGAGCAACCTTTTGGGGGTGGTCACGAGGGCTTCGTCCATCTTCCGGTGGTAGGCCTGGAAGAATTGGTGGGAAGCGTAGGTTTCATCGAAGGGAGGGATGTCCACTTCCGCGTTTTGTGTCGGCCGCACATGCGTCAGCACGGCGGTCAGCTGAAGGAGAATCTCCGCCAGGGTGCGTGTCGGTTCTATTTCGGGCACGGAAGTACTCGCTCTCCTCTCCCTCTTCGCGTCTTGTTCTCGCTCGTTTTACATCATATCCTGTCGACTCTCTATAATATTTCGATTGAATCCTGTCGACTCTCTATGATATTTCGATTGATCCTGTCGACTTACTGTGGGATCCTGTTGACTCCTGTCGAATTACTGTGAGATTGGTGTTTACCTTGTCGGATTGCTCTTGACTCTCTGTAACAACCGGTTTGAATCCTGGTGAGTCCTGATGAATTGTGTGGTTGGGTGGATTTGATTGGATTGGTATTTGGTGGCGCAGTCTTGGTGGAATTGTGGTTTTCCACAGGGGAATAACGAGCACACCGGGAGAGAGTGATGAGACTGGAGGAGGTACTTTGCCTTTCACATGATGGAGCGGACACTACCTTGGTTGGAGCCTAAGTTGAGCACACCTTGCTTCTAACCCGGTCACCTACCTTCTTTTTAACTTCTTGTCCGAGATCATCGTCATTAACTCTCTCGACTTCTCATTGGTGGAGATCCTTCCACGTGTTATCTGCTGATTCGCTATTAGTTGGTCATGCTTAAAGCTGATTGGTTGTTGATTTGTCATGCTTAACTGTGATTGGCTTAGTACCTCCATTGTCGCCATGATTGCAATCTTCACGGAAGAATGTCTTTGAACTTTAGTTTTATGGGTCCTGGGCAACCTTTTTACAGATTATCACATATATTCTAACTAATTATTTATTACAGAAAAATAAAATAAAAAAACAAACCTCACATGTTTTGAACTAATTTTTTTTTATAAATCTTAAAATACTAATAACTATCCTGACCAGGAGCAAATGTGATTTTTAGATGGCAGAGCCCCATCTAGTGGAACAGAAATCAACTAAACAATGATTTAGCCTGTTCGCTGAAATTTGGCAACCCATTCTCTTGATAAATCAAGAAAAGCCTAAAGAACGCGTTTCGCGCTGTTGGCGCTCGTCAGCGTGGAGCAGGCTGTACCACTGCGACCAAAAATCTATTTGGTCTCAGAGCTTTCTTGAGAAACTAAAATATTTTGGTCGCAGTAATACAGCCTGCTCCACGCTAACGAGCGCCTTTTCTTGATTTATCAAGAAAATGGTTTGGCCAAATATCAGGGGACAGGTTAAATCAATGTTTAGTTGATTTCTATTTCACTAGATGGCGCTTTGCAATCAAAAAAGCGCATGCACTCCTGGTCAGGATATGCCATTATTATTTTTAATATCAACACCTGACCTTTCAATTATTATTTTTTATAATATATTTTAATATATAAAAACATAAAGAATAAAAAATATGAAAATGATCAGGATATACCTTATTTTGTTTATATATATTGTATATACCCATTTCTTGATTTCTAGGGAAGCCTCTGGGACCAAAAAATATTTTTGGTCGCAGTGGTTACAGCCTACTCCACGCTGACGAGCGCCAACAGCGCGAAACGCGTTCGTGTATGGCTTTTCTTGATTTATAAAGAAATTGGGTTGGCCAAATATCACGGAGCAAGCTAAATAAACATTTAGTTTATTTTTGCTCCACTAAATGGCGTTCTGACTTCTGAAAAGCACATGTGCTCGTGGTCTGGAAATGCATTTTTTATTTTTATTATCAACACCTGACCCACTCATTTTTATTTTTTCTACTGTGTTTTCATGTTTTAAGCGTATTTACACAAATTTAGCCTTAAATACCCATTTCTTGATTTCTCGTGAAACCTCTGTGAACAAAAAATATTTTTGGTCGCAGTGCTTACAGTCAGCTTCACGCTGACTAGCGCCAACAGCGCGAAACGCGTTCGCGGATGGCTTTTCTTGATTTATCAAGAAATAGGGTTGTCCAAATATCACGGAGCAAGCTAGATACACATTTAGTTTATATTTTGTTCCTCTAAATGGCGCTCTGACTTCTAAAAAGCACATGTGCTCATGGGCAGGAAATTCCTTTTTTATTTTTATAATCAACACCTGACCCACTTCTTTTTTCTATTGTTTTTCCATGTGTTTAGCGTATTTACGCAAATTTGGCATTAAATACCCATTTAATGTTACGATGTACTAGAGCGCCATCTGTTATCAAATTATAAAACTATTTTAGAGGCGTAATATTCTTTTTAAAATAAAACAATTTCTACTGTCCTTACTGCGATGGAAAAATTAAAGGGAGGGCCTGGCTCATCAGTGGTGAACCCACCCAGCGGTTTCGCCAGTTTAATCTACCATACCGCTGTTATATTGCATTTTTGGAACTTCCTTTTATAGGTGACTGTTGTAAGACTCTTGGAATGGGTATTTTAGAAGAAATATGGACATAAGCTTTTAGGACAGCAGAATTAAATATAATCATAAATATATAATATGCTTCGAGCAATCGCTCTTCCGCAAATATCAAATTGTGTCTTTTATTAGAACATTAATGTTACGATGTACTAGAGCGCCATCTGTTATCAAATTATAAAACTATTTTAGAGGCGTAATATTCTTTTTAAAATAAAACAATTTCTACTGTCCTTACTGCGATGGAAAAATTAAAGGGAGGGCCTGGCTTATCAGTGGTGAACCCTCCCAGCGGTTTCGCCAGTTTAATCTACCATACCGCTGTTATATTGCATTTTTGGAACTTCCTTTTATAGGTGACTGTTGTAAGACTCTTGGAATGGGTATTTTAGAAGAAATATGGACATAAGCTTTTAGGACAGCAGAATTAAATATAATTATAAATATATAATATGCTTCCATTTAATTTTTCCATCGCAGTAAGGACAGTAGAAATTGTTTTATTTTAAAAAGAATATTACGCCTCTAAAATAGTTTTATAATTTGATAACAGATGGCGCTCTAGTACATCGTAACATTAATGTTCTAATAAAAGACACAATTTGATATTTGCGGAAGAGCGATTGCTCGAAGCATATTATATATTTATAATTATATTTAATTCTGCTGTCCTAAAAGCTTATGTCCATATTTCTTCTAAAATACCCATTCCAAGAGTCTTACAACAGTCACCTATAAAAGGAAGTTCCAAAAATGCAATATAACAGCGGTATGGTAGATTAAACTGGCGAAACCGCTGGGAGGGTTCACCACTGATGAGCCAGGCCCTCCCTTTAATTTTTCCATCGCAGTAAGGACAGTAGAAATTGTTTTATTTTAAAAAGAATATTACGCCTCTAAAATAGTTTTATAATTTAAATACCCATTTCTTGATTTCTCGGGAAACCTCTGTGACCAAAAAATATTTTTGGTTGCAGTGGTTACAGCCTACTCGACGCTGACAAGCGCGAAACGCGTTCGTGTATGGCTTTTTTGATTTATCAAGAAATTGGGTTGGCCAAATATCACAGAGCAAGCTAAATAAACGTTTAGTTTATTTTTGTTCCACTAGATGGCGCTCTGCCATCTAAAAAGCACATGTGCTCGTTGTCAGGAAATATCTTTTTATTTTTTCACCTGACCCACTTTTTTTCAAATATTTTTTCCATGTATTAAGCGTATTTACGCAAATTTAGCCTTAAATACCCATTTCTTGATTTCACGTGAAACCTCTGGGAACAAAAAAATGTTTTTGGTCGCAGTGCTTACAGTAAGCTTCACGCGGACGAGCGCCAACAGCGCGAAACGCGTTCGTGGATGGCTTTTCTTGATTTATCAAGAAATTGGGTTAGCCAAATATCACGGAGCAAGCTAAATAAACATTTAGTTTATTTTTGCTCCACTAGATGGCGTTCTGACTTCTGAAAAGCACATGTGCTCGTGGTCTGGAAATGCATTTTTTATTTTTATTATCAACACCTGACCCACTCATTTTTATTTTTTCTACTGTGTTTTCATGTGTTAAGCGTATTTACGCAAATTTAGCCTTAAATAACCATTTCTTGATTTCTCGTGAAACCTCTGGGAAAAAAAAATATTTTTGGTCGCAGTGCTTTACAGTCAGCTTCACGCTTACGAGCGCGAACAGCGCGAAACGCGTTCGTGGATGGCTTTTCTTGATTTATCTTTGATTTGACAAGAGTGCCATATTTCTTTTATATTTTAATTAATTTGAATATAGATATAAAGAGATATTAGAGAGATGAAATGTTTCGTAATATTCTGTTTTGGTAATAAAATTGTAGCGAAAAAATATTGCTAACAAAAAATGAGTCCAAAAATTCCTTTAAGTTATATATGATAACACTAGCCGAATGACCAAAACTACCCGATTAAATGTTTTTATTAAAATACTATTCGTTACAATTATAAAATGGAGCCGTGAATGTCACTCTTATGAAACGTTCCGCTCCAAACTTCACATGTATATTAGGTCAGCTGGTATTGCCCCCCATTTTCACCGCTAGAGGCGCGAGCGAAAGAGCAAATTTGCAAATAACACGACGGATATTCGGGATAGAGACCTGTAATTTTCACTAAGAGTTTTTCCAGATTCTACTTTATATACTGTTAAAATATCAGTCAGATTAGTTACGTATTGTGGACGTGTATAGTTGACAAACATACATACATACATACGCTGACTTTTATATATATAGGGATAATAATATAAATGAGTTTTAAAAATTGTAAAAAAAGAAAAAAAAAATGCATCGGCCGGGAATCGAACCCAGGCCGCCCGCGTGGCAGGCGAGCATTCTACCACAGTATATTTTAAACTGTATAATAATGACACTTTTAATATATTTCACATATCTTCCAAATAGCCGATACTTTATAATATTATACCCTTTTATTAAAATGTATCTGTTCCTATTTACTACCACCCCCATATTTTGTATATATGCTATATCATATTAATGTAACCTGTACACCCTTATTTGTATTTAAACTATAAATGGTGTCTTCAAAATAAAAATCCAAAGAGTGGTCAGCTGCGGGCCAGAGGAGAATAAAAAGCCAACGCCCAGATGGGGCCCCCTCCAGGGCTTTATATAGACGACCAGGGTGAACAGGACAGGTTTTAGCAGGGGGTCAGGGCAGTATGTTCTACAGTGTGTCCATCAGCAGACCGCTTCTGTCTCTCTCGGTCTCTCTCTCAATGTCTCGGTGATAGCAAGAAATTACCATCAACAAGATATATTCTTATGTAAGAGAGTTTAAAAACCCATCGAGAAAGAATAATGGGAAGGATGATTCATAGACGAATCTACAAAGATTCTTATTTGCTCATCGAGCATTCCCCCAAACTGTAATAAAGGAATCCCCCGCGGAACTCTCAATGAAGAGAAGTTTAAGATAAAGATTCTCGAATTTAATACCAAAGATGGGAAATCCGCGAGAGGTATTTCATGAGGCCGTAAGAAGGCAGGAGCAGTTTAATACAGGTTGCGAGGTTTATTTCCGCAACTATGCAACTAGACCTAAATGGAAAAAAAGGTACCATTTTGAAATTTTTGAGTTGCCGTTGCGAAGGCCTCGTGTATAAGAGGCAAATCAATAAATTGCGATCTGTGAGAAAGAAACAATTGGAGACAAGAAATTTGATACTTCCTCGAACATCAGGAGAGAAGTCTGTAGGTGGAAGTTAGAAAGTGAAGAGGAGGTTCCAGAGGTTACATCCAGAGGCATTCAATTTTGTATCGTGTCCTCTATCTCTGTCCCGTAGGCTGTCCCCGATCACTCTTGGTACTAAAATCTAGCCCTGCCTCTGCCTCTTGTTATCAGCGTGTGGGAAGAACATCAACTCTCGCCTAACGTACACGACTGCCAATTCATTTATACGTAGACAGGGTCGTTTGCAACAATATTACAGAAAGTCGACAGGATAACTGGGGACAGCGGTATGCAGAGGATATCAAAGGTACCTGTGGTCAATGCCGCATTCGAGTGGATGCTCCTTCTACTTACCCTCCACCTTGACGATCCAGTGGACCATCTCGAAGACGCCAAACGAGGACTACTGTACCTCGCACCGAGGAGGTCTTCATCGCCTCCATCGACAGCTCCTGCGCCACAAGCGCTATATACTAAGTTTGGAGCGGGACGTTTCACAAGAGTGACATCCACGGCTCCCAATTAATAATTGTAACGAATAGTATTTGAATAAAAACATTTAATCGGGTAAAACCCGGGCGTTGCCCTGGTTATTCGGCTAGTATAATAAAAATAAAGAGGAAATGGGGGTGGGATATTATTAATAGAAAATTCAATATTAGATTACGTCTTGGTATCAGACAAAACCTAAGAAGATCCAACTCTTAGAAAACTATATAAATTAATCAAGTATGATACTTATGATATTGACTCAGATGTAGATATAAAACCTCATCTTAGAATTAAAATCGAGATAACAATAGTAAGAAATTGCCTATTTTTTAGGAAATACAGGGTGATCCAAAAGTCCCGCACAACTTTAAAAATTAATAACACCGCGAATATTTGCGCTAGAGCAATGCGGTAAACACCATTGTGTTTAGGATACAATGGGATTTTTTATGGCAAATAATGAAAAACTAGAAATTGATTTTAGTTACAATTTTAGGCTTTAAAGAATGCAAATAATCTTTCTCTTTTTACATACACAACACATCTCCCCCCTTAATAATACTCCAGTCAGTCTGGGGGTTTCCTGGCTCTCTGAGTTCTAGGATTGCGGACGGGCACTTGCACAGCGGCAGTCTCCAGTTTCGGACTGCAAGAGGACACTTGCACAGCAGTCCACTCCTCTTCGTTTCCTGATGTAACCTCTGGAACCTCCTCTTCACTTTCTTTCTGACTTCCACCTACAGGCTTCTCTCCTGATGTTCGAGGAAGTATCAAATTTCTTGTCTCCAATTGTTTCTTTCTCACAGATCGCAATTTATTGATTTGCCTCTTATACACGAGGCCCTCGAAACGTCAGCTCAAAAATTTCAAAATGGTACCTTTTTTCCATTTAGGTCTAGTTGCATAGTTGCGGAAATAAACCTCGCAACCTGTATTAAACTGCTCCTGCCTTCTTACGGCCTCATGAAATACCTCTCGCGGATTTCCATCTTTGGTATTAAATTCGAGAATCTTGATCTTAAACTTCTCTTCATTGAGAGTTCCGCGGGGGATTCCTTTATTACAGTTTGGGGGAATGCTCGATGAGCAAATAAGAATCTTTTTAGATTCGTCTATGAATCATCCTTCCCATTATTCTTTCTCGATGGGTTTTTAAACTCTCTTACATAAGAATATATCTTGTTGATGGTAATTTCTTGCTTGTTTAACTAACTTTTTATATTATTTTTAGAGTCCTGTCTTCGTTCATATAGCTGAGTCTGGAAGTGCTTGAAAGATATTCAGCAATTATGTCAGCCATCTGTTTGTTCGTTCTCGCTCTCTATTCATATCGGTTAGAGTATTGGAGGATTGGTGTTGGTTTTGATTGGTTTCTAACACTCTAATTATATTCCAGTGATGGCTGTCCTTTCTTGGATCCATTTTTTTTCGCAAAATTCTGCCCATTTTCTTGTTTGAATATTCAAATTTCTTGTTAAATTTTGTGACTAATTTCAATGAGTTCCTTTATGTTTTCTTCTGTTTCATTTGTTTCAATAAATTCATTGATATCGTGTCTCTCTGCAATCATTGCCTCGATATTGTGGTCCTTCCAGTAAGGTATCCACAGGTCTTTAGGTCTACCTCTAGGTATCGATGCTTTTGCAGCTTTGGATATGTTCGAAGAGAATTTTTCCAAGTTTTTATCAATCGTTCTGTGATTAAATTCTTCGTTGCACAGTTCTTCAAGCATTTCTGTGATTTTTTCTAGTGTTTTTTTTAATCTGTTGGACATTCTCAATTTCGAAGTTTAGGGTTGTCAAAATTGGTCTGTGTTCACTGATTGCACTTTTCAGGATTTTCCATTGTGTTGTGGGTACGATGTTTTGAATTATTGCTGTGATGTCTATTACGGATTCTGTGCCTGTGAACTTAAGTGTTCTTTTCGTTATTTAACGGTGTGAGGTCGAGGTCGGTTAGCATGTTCTCAACCTTCTGACCTTTGTTATCCTGGGCAGGTGATCCCCAAGTTGGACTTTTGGCGTTAAAATCACCGAGTATGATTGTAATATCCGAAGACGCTTCACATAATGTCTCTATAAGGCCTGGATTGATGCTAATATTATCAGGGTGATAAACATTTATATCGTAAAGATAGAGGCTGCCTGGCCGGCATTCATATTTTTATAAAAAATAGACACTTCGGCCAGTTGGAGCTTTTTATTTTCTCTCTGTCATCTATCGTCTGCAGGCGGTGTTTAAGAATGAAGGGCGCCACATTGGGCAAGGATTGTGACCTAATACAAGAGAGAAGGCAGTTACCTCATGTGTTGCATAAGTTGCCATGTATTATACTATCTACCAATATTTTGCAGCTCTTTGTGTTGGGTTATGGGAATAATAAAGCTCCAACTGGCCGAAGTGTCTATTTTTATATAAACATTTATATATTATAATTTTATCTGGGAGAGAGATTTCTATTGCCTGAGCTTCTGTAGTTATTTATGTAGGCTTACTCTGATTATAGGCGATTTCCTTAAATTTGATTCTTGAAGTTTTAATCAAAACAGTCTTTCCTTTCGTAGTGTTGTATAACCTTTGATATTGAATCTCAGGTTCTAATCAATTTTGTCTCCTGAAGACAAGTCATCTCTTGAGTTTTCCTCTGAGTTCCATTTATATTGAGCTGTAGTAGATTGAATTGTGTCCTCGTAGTAGATTTCTCATCAGGAGCCCGGGCAACAGCTCCTGACGCGGCGGTTACCCCGGACGCGGTAGCATTACTGGAGATATCAGTTTTGCTCTTCTTTGGAAAATAGTGCCGTTGCAACATTATTCACCTTGGAAACGAACCAATATTTGTTCAAATATTCCAAGAGACCGCAGGTAGGTGTGGTCGGATTTTTTTAATTCGTTCCTTTAAAGGTATTCGAAGCGGTAAAGAACCCATGAGTTGCTACTCTCTAAGGCGAATGATTAAAAAATTTGAGAAAACTGAATCTCTGAAAGCTAAACCTCGGAGTGGAAGACCATAGACATGTAAGTCAATGGCTTTTACGGTTTTGCAGAATATTGAAGCTATTGAAACGTTATCCACGTATGGAGAAGTAAGTGCTCGAAATGGAACATTTTGGATAGAACACACATTTATAATTTTTCTTTTAAAATACCCATACAAAATTCAAAGTTTTCACCAGTTAAAAGTCAGCGATTTTGAGAAGCGTCAAGAATTCGCTGCATGGGGTTTCCGGCAAATTGATAATGATGAAAACTGGCTGTCGAATGTTCTGTGGACAGTTAATGCTCACTTTTCTCTAAACAGATAATTTAACATTCCAAACAGCCGCATTTGGGCAACAGAAAACCCTAGGGTTTTTACAGAAATGCCACTTCATCAGTCTAGAGTTACAGTTTTGTGTGGGTTCACTTCTTTGTTTATTGGGCAATTTTCTTTGAAATTTTAAATTAAAGATCTTTTAAAACCGTTTTTGTAACTGGTGAACGTTATGTTCAACTTTTGATAGAAAAGGGTATTACCATATTGCCAGACAGACAAGCACTAAGCGAAATAACATTCATGCAAGATGTAGGACATCCTCATATCTCCCGGTGCCAAACATCGTTGGATAAGTCGCCACTTTATATACCAGTGGCCTCCAAGATCACCAGACTTGACGCCTTGCAATTTCGGTTAT